CATGCTTATGGCGTCGATGGAGTCCCTCTGAGCAATAGCCCACACGCCCAAGGCCAAGATGGCGTAATTTGCCCAGACATAGCTGTCTGAGAATGTGATGCCGCCCCTGCAGAAAGAAGTACCTTCAGATAAAAAAGTGGAAGCACAGAGAAGTGAAGTAACTTAACCAAAGCCACACAGCAGTTAAGTGACAGAGCTGGGACTTGAACCCAGGCAGCCTGGCTCAAGAGCTCAGTCTCTTATCTCTGGCAGAGAATGTCCTTGAGGACAGGGATCTCTTCTATATTTACTATATACTCTGGGCCTAGACAAGGTATGCAGAGGGTTCCAGCGTGTAGGGGGTGCTCTGTAAATTTCAGTGGCAAGTAACACAGAAGAAAACTGTAGGAAATAGCATGTGTAGAGTGCAACTTGGCTCTATAAGTCTTTAACACGTTGCCACACACTTTTTTTTAAATTTAGGTTGTTTATTTTTCATTTCAATGAACATCTACAGAGATTTTGGGATTCCATTCATTTTTAAATTGATGACCGTGCTTAGACAGTGCATAGTCATTTGCAGCAACGTGTTAAATACCTTCCTCACTTGGTTTCAAGAAACAGGCGACCTGGGCCCCAGTCTGGAATCCTCGACTCAGAATCTTGAGGACAGTGACTGAAAATTCCATGTATCTTCACTTCGCCCCTCACAATCATTAATCATGACTAACACTGTTCCCAGAGAGCTCTGGTGGCCTAGTGAGAAAGGAATTGCACTGCCAACACAAAAGCATGCGGTTCAAATCCACCAGATGCTCCAAGGGAGAAAGGTGGGCAATCTCCTCCCATGCAATTTATTGCCTCTGAAAATGAGCTGGAGGGTGTCTACTATGAGTTGGTTCTGACTCAAGGGCACGTAACAGTAACAGTAGCAGTGCTCACAATATTGTGTGTGCACTGTATGGATGCACTGCCCTGGAAAGTTCCCAAAATGTGTACATGAGGGCAACGGTCTCCAGTCTGTTGGGAAGAGAAGTCCTTTCTATAGAAGAAAACTCCCGGAAGCTCACCAGAGAAAGCTAGAAACCACTCTCAGACTTTAATCTCTCTGTGTGGTCTTAAGAGGTTGTCAGAAGAGCACTGTACGCTCCTCCGTGGGAGGGGGTGTGTGCATCCTGAGCCCCACATTACAGATGGAAGCCAAGTCCTAAGAAGCAACCTGTCTATGGTGAACCCCATGTCTGCCTTCTCTTCCCCAGCAGGACAGCCCGTGAGGGTCTGGAGTGTGGTGGAGAAGAGTAGGGTTCTACCTATAAGCAAACAACTCCACTCCTTTGTATCTCAGATTCATTGCCAAGGTGTTGAGAGGCACTATAATCTGCAGAGGTGCCCACTCTAATGACTGACTCCTGGACTTCCCAAGAAAATGAGAGCCATTTTTGTAGTTTTCACCTTCCTATGACCTTACAAAGTAAGCAGGTTATTAATATTCCCATTCTACAGATGCAAAGACAGACTCAGTTAAAGCACAGTCTGACCCAGGTCTACAGGCAGTAATGTATGGCTGCTTCGGGGAGCCCACTGTGGTATTGGAGACGGGTCCCCAGCTTCAAAACCACAGACTACCTGATAGAGAGGTACTGGGGAGGGGCCAGTCGCCAAGTTCCCAGGAGTCAGAAGAGGTGTCTGGAGGGGATGTAAGCTGTCAGCACTGCTGGGCCTATACTTCACCAAAGATGAGAGCTCAAAGCTCCCAGAAAGAGCAGTTAGAGATTTCTAGGAACTGCCTGCTTCAATGACAAGCGTAGGGTTTTAGGAAGCTTGCCAATCATAGTTTTCACTTAGTCTGGGCCAAGCTGGGAGGAAGATGTGGACACAGACCCAGGACCCATGGAGTCACTCACCAGGTAGTCAGCAGCCAGTGAACCAGCAGGATCGCCTGTAACACAAAATTGAGAAGGAAGCATTACAACAGGTCTGAGTCTGACCGCCACAGGGTGTGGGAGTGGGGGCCAGAAGGGAGGTACCTCGAAGAGTGTTATGGTGTGTGTCCCCAAGAGTTATGTTACAGTCCTAACCTTGAACCTATAAATAAGACCTGCTTAGAGGCAAGGGGGTTTCCTGTGTTATATTAAAGAAGTCATATTGCATACTACACACATTTGATCTTAGCCAAAAGGCAGAGAAGCAATATACCCTAAGATGGATCTTAACCCTAATCCTCCTCAGTTTTTGTGTTTAGGTGTTGTGTTTTGTTTTTTTTTCTTGGTGAGAAAAATTTGTATTTACAATTGGCCGGCTTGACTCAGTTTGGATGATCCAAATTTTGCTGGCAACATTCAAAGCATCCTAGTCAGGAGCAAGCTGAACATAGGCCTTCTCTCCATCAGGCCTCATCAAGGTGTTGACCTTGGCCACATCAGTGTCACAGAGCTTCTTCACAGCTTGTCTGGTTTGGTGCTGGTTGGTCTTGACATCACCATGAACACAAGTGTGTTATCTTCTATCTTCTTCATGGCTGACTCAGTGGTCAGGGGAAACTTGATGGCATAGTGGTCAAATATTTGGGCTGCCTTTGGAGTATCAGCTTCTTAGGCCCCGGAAGATGGGTGACGTGCGGATCTTTTACGTGTGGCTGTGGATGCCCTTCAAAACAGCACATGAAAAAATGTTCAAAATCCTTAGTTCTCACCACAAGATAAAGGTAAATAATCCAATAGAAAAATGGGCACAGGATATGAACAGACACTTCACCAAAGAACACATTCAGATGGTTAACAAGCACATGAAGAAATGTTCAAAATCCCTAGCTCTAAGAGAGATGCAAATCAAAACAACTATGAGATATCATCTCATCCCAGTCAGAATAGCAAAATTTAACAGAACAGCAAACATCAAATGCTGGTGAGGTTGTGGAACAACTGGAACCCTGATTCACTGTTGGTGGGAGTGTAAAATGGTGCAACCACTGTGGAAGGCGGTATGGCACTTTATCAAAATCCCTGCTCTGAGAGAGATACAAATCAAAACAACTATGAGATTATCATCTCACCCCAGGAAGAACAGCAAAATTTAACAGAATAGCAAACATCAAATGCTAGCAAGGTTGTGGAGAAACTGGAACCTTTATTCACTGTTGGTGGGAGTGTAAAATGGTGCAACGACTATGGAAGGCTGTATGGCATTTTCTCAAAAAGATGCAAATAGAAATACCATTTGATCCAGCAATTCCACTACTTGGAATTTACCCTAAAGAAACTATAACTGTCCCCCAAGCAGATATATGTACACCCATGTTTATTGTGGCTTTGTTCACAATAGCAAAGAGCTGGAACAACTCAAGTGCCCATCAACAAACAAATGGATAGAGAAGCTCTGGTATAGTTACACAATTATTATGCTGCATTGAAAAACAAGGATTCATGAAATAGTATACAAAATGGGTGACTCTGGAGGACATTATGCTGACTGAAATATCTTAGTAACAAAAGGACAAATATTGCATATGGCCACTGTTGTAAAATGGGACTGACATCATGGTTGAGGGAAGACTGAGAAAGAGAGGATAAATAATGTATACTGCATTGAAACAGATGAGAGAACTGTTTAAAAGGGATATATGATTAGGTATTACTGTCATGACAGGAGTCCAGAATGAAGGAAGGCTACACAGTGAAGTGGACTTGGAAGGGATTGTATAAAAATGAAGGAATTTTTCATTTACTTTTCAAAGAGAGGAACGAATGGGGGGGAGGGGTGGACAGGGAGAAAAGTGCAACAATGAATGAATGGAAACCCTAAGTCTCTGTAAACTTTCATTAAATTAAAAATGCCAGCCTCAATAGAGAAAAGGAACAAAAAAAAAGTTGAGGCTGTACATGATAGATCTTTTGGTGGTGAAAATAGCACACTTACTGCTAGTCAAAAGTCTTGAAGTTCAAGTCCACTCAGAAGTGCCTCAAAAAAAATGTCTGGCAACCTACTTCTGAAAAAATCAGCCCCTGAAAAACGAGGGAGCATCTAACACACATGGAGTTTCCCATAAGTTGGAGTCTATGTGGCACTGACTGGTTTGTTTTTTCCTTTTGTGAACTCTAGAAGGTTCCTTTGAGGTCACTTGTCACTACTGTGTCAAAGGAGCCCAGGTGATGAAGTGTATACGTGTTGGGCTGCTAACCAAAAGAGTGGTGGTTCAAGTCCATCATCTGCTCTTCAGGAAAGAGATGGGCAGTCTCAGAGACTCAGTGGAGGGTCTCCAGGAGTCAGAATCAACTTGAAGGCAGTGAGTTTGTCTGGGTTTTTGGTGGGCTGGTCTCTATATGGTAGATAGAGAACTCTGCTGGCCTAGAGCTAAGCAGCTGCACAGCCAACCCAAAGGCACGTGATTAAAATCTACCAGCTGCTCCAAAGGAGAAAAATGGGTAATCGCCTCCCATGCTATTTATAGCCTCTGGAAAGCCACTGGACGGTCAGCTATGAGTCGGTTCCAACTCAATGGCACATAACAATATATGTCAGGTAGGAAGTGCTGGTAGATTAGTCCATAGACCAGTCTGCTAAGCCAAGCGCCACACCTCTGTGGCACTTTGAGTCAGTGACTTTGTAGGAGAAAGACGGGCAATCTTCACAGCCTTCTGAACCCCACTGGAGCATCAGCTATGAGATGGTCCCAATTCAACAGCAATGTGTGAGTGTGACATGTCAAATCCCATTCAAAGTGCCTTTTGTATACATTTAATGTACATTTAACACATAATCTTCTTAGCTGCTACTATCCTATTTTATTGTTAAGAAAACTAATGCTTAGAAGTAAGTAACTTGTTCAAGGTCATATAAGCAGGTCAGCTGCAGGCCCAGGATTCTAACAGGCTCCTCTGTCCAGAATTGAGCTACTAACATATGTTGAGTTATTGCTTTACATCAGCCCTGGGGCCTCCATGAAGAGCACAGGAGATGTAGTATCTGGTCTCCCAGAACTGACACCTAACCAGGAGATAGTCATTAATCAGATAATCAATCTTAGGAATGAGGGGTTAAAGGGGACCCTATTTAAAAGAAAAGTCGTTAACAAAGGACAAGGAATCTCCTCCTATGAGGGAGAACACTTAAAGTGAGGCTGAAGGTGATCAGTGGATGGTTGGTCAGATGGTAAAATGGCTGTATGTACAAAGGCCCTGTGTAATTTTTTTTTCTATTTGATTCTTTTTAAATAATTTAGTTTGTTTATTTTTCATTTCAATGAACATCTACAGAGATTTTGGAATTCCATTCATTCATTGTTGCACCCTTCTCCCCACACAACCCCCCCATTTGCTCCTCTCCTTGAAAAGCAAAAGAAAAACTCCCTCATTGGTACACAATCCCCCCCCACCTCCCCAAACCCCACCCCCTGCCCCCAAATATAATCCACTCTGCAACCCTCATTGCCTACTCCTACGATAAAAATAATGCCCTAAAATACTTTTAGACTATTCTCTCCCCCATAGACTTCAATGCCGTAAACATATTTCATCTGATCTTTATTTTAAGAACAGAGGGGAAAGGATCTACCGAAGGCCGCTCAGCCAGCCAGCACGGTCCTGGTGTCCCAGCTTTAAGCCCAACAGGACACGGCACAGAAGGCAGCAGAGGGGAGGCACACATCACAACTTTGCTTCAGAAAACAAAACTAACGGTTGTTACCAAGTCAACTCAGACACCTGGTGACATCTACTCATGCCAGAGGAGATCTGAGCTCCTTGGGCTGATTTTGCATTAAGCAGATTGCCATGCTTTTCTTCCAAGGTGCCTCTTGGATTTGAACTTTTTTTTTCTTTTTCTTTTTTTGTATTTGAACTTCTAAACTTTCAGTTAACATCCAAGTGCTTTAACTATCTGTATCACCCAGGGCCTCCTTCCTCAAGGAAATCAACAGCTGATCCCCACTGGTGACCTCTAACTTCAGAGACAATCTTTACTTCCAAGCAGTTTCACTGTAGCCCTGGTTCTTGTGTCGAGACTTTACCTGGCCAGGTCTCTGGAATCTGGGTGCTTCTCGGCTCTGCAGAGCCTGATCTGTTGTGTTCTTAGTGCAAAGTCGGAACAGACAGCTCACTCTCCAGCACGTTTAATTGCATGAGAGGAGATTGTCCATCTTTCTCCTGTAGAGCAGCTAGTGGATTCAAACTATGTACCTTAGGATTAGCAGTGCAACTCCTTACTCATTAGGTCACCAAACCAGAGCCTGGTTTATGAGAGTATAAATGACACAGCTGAAAGGCTGAGGCTGGCCAGTCCTCCGAGGAAAGCATGCTATGTGACTCTGTGATTTCTCCCAAAGTTGGAAGAGTTTGTACACCTGGCTAAAAGTAAAACTAAACTACACCATTTCTCAGGAAAGATTTGACCTGAACAAACTGCAGATCCACTGACGACATGCAATCCTCTCCCAATGACATCACTGTTTTTGCCTTGTAAATATTTAAGAAACTCAGCACCATTTGGACACTTCTCTTAAACTCCTGAGAAAAGAAACCCAAGAAGGACTAAGCTGCCACAGTTTCCCCATTTTCACGATAGAGAAGACACACCTGCCTAGTCCCCAGACAAGCCTAATGTCAGAAATGCTCCAGCAAGGCCTGGCCCTGCCCTTCCCAGCAACCCCTGAGAGCAGGGAACGGTGACTCAAAGGTCAGCACGAAAGACCTGTCTGCAGGCCCTGGGGGAGATTTCCAGTAATTAATAAGAGGCCGGGTTTCTCAGGTACAGCAGAGAAGAAAAGCCAGAAGCAGGGGAGGGGCTGGGATCTAGAATTGCCTGGGCAGCATGACCGTCCCTGACTGGCAAGAGGAATGGAGCAAAGACCTTGTTAGTTGCATTCCAGTCTGTTCTGACACACAGGTGTGCGCAGAGTAGAACTGTCCATAGTTTTCAAGAGTGTCTGATCTAGAGGAATCAGGTCTTCCGAGGACCATCTGGGTATGTTTGAACCATCAACCTTTCAGCTAGCAGTTGAGCAGTTAAGTTCATCACACCGGGACCTCCTAAGCCCCTTGACATTAGATGTCTCTTTCTCAGCTTGTGTGCAATGAAGTCAGTGATATCGGATAGTGAGTGAAAAGGCATCAGGACCAGCAGGAGGAGACCTGGGTTCTTGTTCTGGGGTCACATTTTTTTCATGCCTGTGAACCTCAGTTTTCTCATCCGTGAAATGGAGGTAGTGCATGCCACCCATACCCCTCATAGAAGCATTGCAACCACTTCTGAGATAAGGCCTCTGGTCAGTCATTGGAGCTACATGTTGGGCGGCAAACCAGAAGAGAAGCAGTATGAATCTCCTAGTCACTAGACAGGAAAGGCAGTGGGAAGTACTCGCATGAGAGGTCCAGGTTAAGCAGGGATTCTAACCAAAAGGTTGGCAGGAAGTTCAAATATACACAGGGGCTCCTTGGAAGGCCTGGACCTCTACTTCCTAAAGATCACAGCCACTGAAATCCCTCCAGGGGCATGAGCTTTCCATGACTGATTTTCTGAAAGCAGATCACCAGGCCGTTCTTCAAGGGTGCCCTGGATGAACTCAACTGTCAACCTTTTGGTTAGCGTCCCAGAGTTAAACTGTTTACACCACCTAGTTAAAGCTGAACCTCAGATAAAGAATAACCTTTTAGTATGTGCCACACATTACATGGACTATACTTATTCCCTCCCACCCCAAATGTGATTGGAAACCCAACCAGATGTCCTGTATCTATCTGGCCTACGGAGCCTCCCAGCACTTGTCTGATTTCAAACTGGCTCGGACTCTTGCAGACCTGGGGAGGTGATTTCCCAGTTAAAAGTGCAGGGCTAGCCTTTTCATTCACACCTACTGCAGCACCCTCAGGCACATAACCCACACCAATCAAGTGCCACTGAGTGGATTTCAACCCTCTAAGGACAAAGTAGAATGCACCATAGAGTTTGCAAGACTGTAAGAATTTACAGAAGCAGACTGCCACATCTTTCTCCTAGGGAGCAGCTGGCAGGCTGGAGCTGCTGGGTTAGCAGCCCAATTTATTAACCATTGTAAAACGGTTCCTACTGGGCTCAAAAAAGCCCCAAATAGTAGAAGTCCATCTGATGGCCATAAAAAATCGGGAAGACGTCAACCTCAACTAATCTAGTGCAGTCTGAAACTGGGGGGTTAAATTCTGACTTTGCCATTTCCATTTCTGTGAGACCTAGGCATGTTCTTTTCCCTCTCTGAAGTTTGCTCTCCTGTAAAAAGCTGATCCTGCCAGGTTCCTCAGGAAGTTGTGACTACTTAATTCACTACTGCTGTTTGCCATCAAGTCAGAAATGACTCATGGCTGACCCACCAGTGAGTTTTCAGAGGCAGTCAATTGCATGGGAGGAGATTGCCCATCCTCCTTCCACACAGCAGCTGGTGGATTCAAACCATGTGTCTTTGGGATGGGATAGCAATGCAGCTTCTTACCACTAGGCCACCACAGACCACTCACTCCACAAACCAGAGTTCTCTTCCTTCTCATCTGCAGCACTGCCCCCACTCGATTCTCTTGCTGCCTTAACTAGTTTATGCCAATCTCTAATCACAGTAAAGGCAATCATCAGGTGTATACTTTCTGTATTGACACCAATTCACCTGAAACACCTGAGCAGGTACTCAAAACCTGGGTATTGATTGATACCAACAAACCTCAAATGTCCTCAGATCAATTTCTTCCCAGCTAAAACTCTAAACCCAAATCCATCTCCTTGTCCCAGTGAGCTCTCGCCCCTGCTGCTGATCAAAAGGAAATTCTGCCCAGGTGAAATCATAGCGAGACATGTCTAGCAGTCTAAACACCGAGGATGGCGTTTGGGAAGCAGCCACCCTTGGACTGCTTTTGTTATCAGGCACCATGGGTACTAAATGGTTTGCTGCTCCAAGTAAAAAGGCATTCATTCTTGGATATGCTGGAGGTAGTCACCCTAAGTGCCTCAGAGGGGCACTACAGCCACTTCTGAGATAAGGAATCTGGCCCGTCACAGGAGTTACATTTGGGCTGCAAATCAGTAAACAGTAACAAACTACTACTTACTCCACCGGAAAAGCTGTGGGAAGTACCTGGGTAAGTGTTCTGCCTGGCACAAGCGATAAAGCACTGGATACTAACCAAAAGGATAGCAGTTCAAATCTACTCAGAGGCTCCTTAGAAGAAGGCCTTCATCAAGAAGCCTCAAAGGGGGCTTCACCAAGACTCAAGGTGGCCAAGTTTAGAGCAAGGTCTACACCTTCAGAATCAAAGCTAAAGGCCCAGGCCTTTGGTCAGCAGACAGGCTGAAGGTGGGTGGGGAGAAAAGGAACAGCCCCAGGCATTCCGGCAGCAGGGAGGACACAGGGCAGGAAATGAAGACACCCCAGGAAGCCCCACAGCGGCTTCCTAAATGTGCAAAATGGGTGTTTTCAGGGACCAAGTAACATCTACTAGTGTTCCTGTTTCTTAGTTACGAAATAAGAAAGCTGGACTTAACAAACTTTGGACAACCACTTTCTGGTAATGTAGCTTGCTTGCTTGTACCTCCAAAATCCAACCAAACCTGTTGCTTACCAGCTGGTTGTGACTCACAGCAACTCCATGTGCTACAGAGTAGAACTGCTCCTTGGCTATAATCTTTATAGAAGTGAATCGCCAGGCCTTTCTTTCACGGCACCGCTTTCAACCCACTTTGAATCAGCCACCATCAGGCCAAACAACTAGCGCCACTCAAGGATCTTAATTTCAATTAGTGCAGGCGACGTGTCCGTCCCCAAGTCCCTCCAGTGGACAGTCAGTGGGACCCTCTCTCCTCTTTTTTCAGGGGCATTCTAGGGGTGTAGGCCACAGCAATTCTCGGGGACGTTGCTCCCAGGTAGAGGCAGCTGGTCCTAGGACAGTGTGACCCTTAATTTCCTTTACAGTCTCTACTCCCCCTTGGTGGCTTTTTCCTGGCTCCCTCCTCTTCGCTGTGGTATGTCTACCCCACTTCCTTTTCACCTGGGAAAGTCTCCGTTCTCTTGTGCCCCTTCTCCCTGCCACCTTCTTTCCCCCCCTTACTGAGCGATCCCACTTCCAAAACTCTTTCCAAAGCACTCAACCTGATCCCAGACACCCGCCGCCCGCCCGCCGCGGAGTGACCACTTCCGCCCCGCCTGTCGCCACCTTCAGGTTCACCGCGGGCAGTTCCATCCTGATCCTGGCCCTGGGGACCTGCGTGACCACCGTGGGGGGGGTCCGTCGTCCCGAGTTCAGGAAATAAAGTTGCCTGGCCCCGCCCCGCCCGCAGCAGCCGCTCCAACCCGGGAACCCAGCACGGCTCGCTGACCACGTGAGGCGGGCCCTACGGTCACGTGAACGTCGCCCGGTTGCTAGGGAACGGCGTCTGTCTGTTCGCCTCCAGGAGGAGCTTCTTCTAGTTACAGCCGCCCAGGCGGTTCCTGGGGGGCTCCGGGGAAAATGTTGGGTTCTGAAACAAAGGGGGCAATGTCCTGCCTGGTTAATATCCCCGTAGGTGATGACGTCTAGGTTAACAGGACCACCTGCAGCCAGGAAAAGCTCGGGAACTTCCAGGTGCAAACTAGTTGTAGCAACAGCTGGTGCTCCGTCCCAGAAACATTCTCTCTTCCCGGAAAAGAGCCCTGGTGGAACAGTGCACTAAGATTTGAGCTACTACCCTAAAGTTTGGTGGAAGAAGGACAAGGAAGCCTGATTTACAGACCTGGGAACAGTCTACTCTGTTCTGCAGGGAAACTATGATTCAGAATCCATATGATAGCAGTGGGATAGATAGACCATGTTTGGATCACCAGATATCCTTTTCAAGATCAATGTAAAGGGCCTAGAACAGTGGCATCTGGAAATGGTTAAGCCTGAACTAGTAACTGAAAAGTGAACTGTTCAAATCCACCCAGAGGCACTTCAGACAATAGGACTAGTGATGTACTTCTCAAAGTTCACAGCCATTAAAAAAAAACAAAAGCAGCCCTGTGGAATTCAGTTTTAATCTGACACACATGTTTTATCCAAGCCTGCTAGTGTATAATAAAACTGATTAATAATCACTGTGGAGAGAATATAAAATAATGTGCATGATTAGTCCCAAGCAGGTGGCATAATGTCTCGAGCTGCCAAGCAAAAAAAAAGGTCAGTGGTCCATATCCACCGGCCACTCCGAAGGAGGAAAACAGCCTCCTCTCCAAAAGATTTGTAGCCAGAGAACCCACACAATTAAATGGTGAGCTGCGCTACACCAAGAGAATAGCCCAGTCTGAGATGAAAAGGATGGAGCGTGGTGAGGAGCAGGAGGAAGTACAAGGCTGGGTCTGTGGTGAGTCTCTGCAGCTCCTGCTAACAATGCATTCATCCTGACTAGCTGGGGCCAGAATCATGGGAGGCAGGGGTGAGGGCAGCTGATGACAGCAAGACCCAGCTGGCCATGGCATTGAAGAGGATCAAAGGAAAGTGAAAGCGTCTGCATCAAAGGAATAGAGGTCCCGCCCTGACTTACTCCTGACTAGAAAGGACAAAGGGAACTGCACAAAAGACATTCCCAGGATTTCAAGCAATATTTTTGGAATTCAAGTTTACACTTTTCCTATTTCTCACTAACCTGTCTCAGGCTAAGAAATGAGAGAGAGAAAGGCACCTGTTTATCTTTGTACTCAAAACAAAACAAAAAAAATACTTCTAAAATATAGTCATTAATCAGTTTGTAAACACCTGCTAGGATAATTATCTAGTACTAGAATGGCTAAATCATGACAGGTGTTTAACTTTTATACAATTACCAAACTGTTTTCCAAGGTGGTTGTATTGTCTTTTAGTATTCTCTTTTTTTCTTGTTGTTGTTATCTACTGTTGAGTTGCCTGAAACTCATTGTGACCCTATGTGCAATAGCCCTAAACCCTGCTCTATCTTGTGCCAATCTTTTTGTCTCTGACACATCTACCACCATTACCCCAGTCAGTGAATCAATCCATCTGATCAAGGGTCTTCCTGTCCTGCACTGTCCCTCCACCCTCCCAAGCATGACGTCCTTCTCCTAGGACTAGTCGTTCCTTGCAGTATGTCCAAAGTATGTCAGACAAAGCCTCAGAATCCTTCAAGGAGCAGCCTGGCTTCACCCCCTCCAGAAGGAGCCTGTTTGTTCTCTTAGCAGTCCATGGTATGTTCAATACTCTTCTCCAACACCACAGCTCAAAGACATCAATTCTCCTTCTGTAATCCCTAGTTATTGTCCATCTCTCTAATGCATAGCAAGTTATTGAAAAGACCATGGCCTGTATCAGAAGTACCTTAGTCTCCAGACTGACATCATAAATTCTCTTCTCAGCATTTAGCAATATCTGAAGGTGTTACATAATTAACATTGTGTTGAGACCTTGAAAGAGTCTCAGAGTAAAGTTAAAATTTTTATGTTTATCTGAATACACTTGAATATTGAGTGTTTCTTCTACAGAAGCTGTAAATTTGCCCTCATGCAGTATTTGCTTTGCCCAGGTGAGGGGTGAGGGCATGATTGGTAAGGATGGTTGATAGTAAGGGCAAAGTTAATTCTTTAAGTATGGAAGAGGCCAATGGCTGGAAAGTTAGGGAGTAACTAGTAATACAATGATGTAAGTAATTCAGACCTTCAATCCATAAACTTCCATTTTGTTATTCATGTTTAAGAGCTCATTCAAGGATGAGTTATTTATTGCATTAAGGAAGTGGGATTAAGATAGGATACAAGCCCCACCATACTAGAAGTTTTAACTCAAATCAACACTCTTCATTCTCTTATTTTCTGCAAAGTTGTATCATTGGCATATGTGGGTTGTTAACGATCTTAGATCTAATGATCTAATCTTGATGTCACCTTCTTCTTTATAAATCCCACATTCTTGGATTGTTTGCTCAGATAGGATACAATCCTGATGCACTCCTTTTCTGATTTTAAATTATGCATTCGCTGCTTCTTGGTCTGTGCAAAGGTTCGAACCACATACCTTTCAGTTGGCAGATAAATTCCTTATCATTAAGCCACCAAAGCTACTTACACTCAAATCCACTAGCTTCAAATCCACTTTTCTTCTGGAAGAAAAATAGACAGTCTCCTCCCATGCAACTTACTGCTTTTGAAAACTCACTGGAGGGTCAGCTATAGGTTGGTTCTGACTTGAGGGTACATAAAAACAAAATGATAATTGAACAACCTACCTCCTAATATCAGCAATCAGGAGATCAGGAAACGTATTGCACTTGGGAAGTCTGCAGTGAGGGACCTCTCCAGATTTCTGAGGAGCAACAATGTCAGTTTAAGGACTAAGGTGTGCCTGATGCAGGCATGGTCTTTTCAATCACTTGCTATGCTGCTGAAAATTGGACAATGAATAAGGATGACAAAAGAAGACTTGATGCCTTTGAGTTGTAGTGCTAGAGAAGAGGACTGAATGTCCCTTGGACTGCCAAAAGAACAAACAGATATGGAGAAAACACAGCCAGAGTGCTCCTTGTCGACAAATATGACAAAGCTTCATCTCACATATTTTGGGCCTGTTGTTAGAAGAGGCTATTTCTTGGAAAGGGACATCATGCTTGGAAAGGTGAGGGTACAGTGGAAGACAGGAAGACCCCCAAACAGACAGAGTGACTGCTACAGTGGGTTCAACTGTTTAAAAAATGATGAGTAGAAACTTTTCCTTTAAACTTCTCATTACCCTCATCACAGGTAATCAGGTTCTGTGCTTCTTGGCCAAAGAACTGCCAGGACATGGAAGAACTTGAGGGTCTTATTCATCTATGTGGCCCTTTGTATCTATGGAAATGATTTCCTTCCTTCTCCTTTGAGGACCAGCTTCAGGGAGTAATAAGATGGCAGGAAATAGTAACACCAGGAAAGAGCACACTCATTAGAACAATCAACCACATAGGAGCAAAAGAGCAACATTTGCCCAAGGATAGAGCTCAGAAGACAGGAAGGAGTAGGAAAGAAGGGTGGATCCAAATGGGAACCACAAAGAGCAAGTGGTGTGAGTGCTGTTACACTGGAGTAACAGAAGACAATGAAACACAATGAAATATGCATGGTTGAACGGAAAACCAATTCGTTCTGTAAATTTTCGCTCAAATTACAGTAAGAAGTTAACAAAATTAAAACAATGATGAGTGATGGATCAAGAAAACAAAACAGGGTCATGATGGGCAAGGTCCAATGGTGATTAATTTTATAAAGCATAATGCATGGGAATGATGGTATGAAACACAATATGAATGGAGAATAGTATGAAACACAATCTATACCAACTTTGCAAGCAAACCAATATAAAATTTTTTTAAATAGTAAAAAAATAAAACAATGAAGGAACCAGTGGAATGCACATAGATTCCAGGCTTTATTCTGGTTACCTGTCTCTGGCTGATGCCAAGACTCTGAAAATATCAACCAATCTTGTGACTTGTCAGTAAAACCAACCATGTCCATGACTCTATTAAAGTCAGCAAGAGGACATTGTCAGGGGATGGGAAATAGGGGGACTCATGTGGCTGAAGTTAGGGTATCAAATCTCCTATTTCTTTCTGTGTTTTCTATAATAGTCTGACCCTACTGGGGGATGTGAGAGCCCTGCTCACAAAACCTAAAGGGAAATGTGTGTGACCCCACTTTGTGCAATATGTACAAATGCATGTTTGTTGTTGTTGTGTAGGGTAGAATCAGAACCAACCCATAGCTGACCCTCCAGCATGTTTGCAGTTAGTGTCACAGGAGGAAATTGTCCATCCTTCTATGGAGCAGCTGGTGGCCTTGAACCGTGTGCTTTGGGGATTGCAGCACAGCTTCTTACCTCTCAGCCACCATAGAGGTCAAAGTTTATTAGTGGTGATGCGGACAGAGGCGGGGTGGGGGCAGTCATCATCTGGAGGGCACTGAACTGCTGAGAGGGGAAAATTTGAAAACAATGGTCACAACAGTTGGACAGCATGATAACAGCAATTAATGTAACATATGAATAAAATGCTGAAACGGTAAATGTTTTGTCATATATATTATCACCACAATAATAATTACCATCATAAAAAAATTCACAGGAGGCTGATTCTAGAATATCCGTCCGATTGGCACAGAATGCAGACTCCCAGCAACAGCCATTGCTGAGTTTAATAGGACCCAGACAGACTCCACAGGTACTCTTTCTTGATCCTTAAAATG